ATAGGGACAGCCCCAATACTAGAAATAGCGCGCGCTTACGAAGTTTGGCTGCCACGCCCTTTTGAAAATTGCACAAAACCTTGGGGGATGTGACATTCCCCTTCCCCCTCTCCCTTACGCCCTTACGGTTTATAGAGAGCCTTGACATTATGACTTAAACACGACTGGGTATCTCAAAGAATCTCATTACGCGCATAAATGTGTATGCACGTTCAACTTCTTAATCAGTTTTTCGACGATAGCAAGCAAGATATGACACGAATGCTTTAAGACCCTACCTGGGAAATGCAGCAATGAAGCGTTTGCTGTGTCCGTTCCCATATACGTTTTCCTGTCTGGCCAAAATCGTGCCCAGTCGCTAAATACCAGCAATATCACATCATCCGGGATCTTTCCGTGTATTTTTTCCCATGCTTGCAAATCACTGGGTGTTAATTCAACATCAGCATTCTATTACAAAGTTAATAAATACTATGATTCACTGTGCTCAACTCTGAATCAGATCTGAAATGAACCTGAACTGCGGTACTTAGTGCAGAACATCTTTGTCCCAACAGGCTGTGGTCGTTTGTGTCATCGCCAAAATTTATCGAAACTTCTATCCGGCTACCATTTGGAAGTCCACGATACACAGTCTCCGGCTCACTCTGATCGGCTGATAATCGATCATAAGAAATACTACGTGCATTTTAAAAATAATGAGCATCTTGATTGCAGATAAGGGGTCGTCGTAAGTGGCTAGCCTAAGCTCTTCCCAAGTTGCGCGATGACCTCCGAAAAAGACTCCCATACAAAAAGAACGGGGCTGCTCGTCATACCTTTTATGGGTTCAAAAAGGGTGTTCAACGTGAAAAGGTCCACAACGGGAGCTTTCGCGGTACCTTTTAGGGTACTGTGCCGAAAAACACACGACAGGAGATATATGAAAATCAACTTTACGCCTCGCATACGGCTGGCGCGCCCGAAATTTGAATTGACCAATCAGGATTCAACAGGCGGGAAAAACGTTACTGTCCTGACGTAAATGGTAGTTAAGAGGAAAGACGTTTCTCATCAGAGATGGCATTGAATATTCACAAACGAGCAGGGATTTGCAATTCCATAAACCATATCAGATTGCAAAAAAGTAAAAAATATGGAACTTTTGTATCTCCAAGCTTATAATTTGGCGTCAAAAACGGGTCGCCGACGTCCGGCATGGCAATTCGCTCGTAGTTCGTTGAGTGTCGCTAGGTAGGATAATAATTGTGTTATTTTGAACAAAATATGCTGTTCCTCATCAAATTAAACCCGGAATTCTCAAGTTAACTATTAGAAGTGGCCAAAGCAACTTAAGCATTACCTATTTTTTGTTAGCTGGGAAGAAAAAGGCTATTATCGTGTCGTTTCGGTGGGACAGCTCTGTTATGACTGCCGCTCGTATTGCGGGCGCAGCCGCCGTATGCAAAGCGAGTTGAAGGTATCCGAAGCGATCGCCTTTATCAATATAAAAAACTTACGAAAGTGTCACTTAATGTGATTTTTTCTAGAGTTGGTACCTCGTAGGGGTGGAAAAAAATTCCAGCCATTACCACAAAACAGGATCTTTTCAAAATTTTCGACGACCCTTCCCTTATATGGGAGTAGCCCCCCCCCCCGGTGACGACAACTGCTTCTTGGGTTTGTTCCTATGTTTATTTTAGCAATTCATCCTTTTCTTCATTTTGCCAATGTAGACCGTGTGGGAGCCTTAAAATTTAATTGGAATGTATATGGGAATATATTTTTTTTCGTTGCAAGTGTTTTCTTTTCCATTAGACATTACTTTACCTGGGCAGCTTTGGAGGATATGTCGATCTTGATGGCAGGTCCGATGAGGCGATCAAGAGGAATTTCATCTGTCGTCCATTTCCCAAAAGAAAGATGTCTAGGCGCATCTAAATGAGTGCCTCCGTGCTCGGGGGCACCGAAGGAATACATTAGGAGGTAAAATCCACCGGGTTGATAGCCATCAAACATTGTGGTTAGATTGAACGTTGGAAGACCGGGCCAGTAGAGAGTCTCATTGTTAAATGGGTGAGAAAGTTCAATCCATGCCGCCCTTGCCATTAGTCCCGGAACCCAGATGAGTGCACACAACGCCAATCGGACCAGGATGGTTTCCATGTTTCCTGCCAGAAAAATATGAAAACCTGAATTGGAACAAACAATATAGATAACTAGTAAAACAGACTATTTAGCTATCTAACACGTTATTGGTATCTTTACATTAAAGGCAGGGTTGTGCGTAGTCTAATTCCTTCTGATCATTAGTTAGTTTACATCTATAAGGTGACCTCACACATCATATTTGTTTACAAAAGTTCCTTCTACAAAACGTTCAAAACCTGTAAAAGAAGCCACCCTTGCGGTAAGACTAATCGATCCGGGGGATCCCCTCAATGTTTTTTTGTGGGGATGTACGGCCCGAACCTTAAAACCTGTACCCTATTTCAGACCAAAATCTGTCATTTTCCATAACTCATTTCAGACTTGAGCAAAAAGAAAATCGATGCTCCATTTCAGACCTCTAAAATTAGGGGTCTCCTCAATATGACCACCGCTAACCAGGAATGGCTTTTATTTGCGTAAACATTTGACTAACGCTCAGAATTTGCTAATGTTGATGCGGAAAAAAACTAGCCTCATGTAAAAACATACGCGATGCCAAGCCATACCCTTTTGGGTCGCACATGTCTATATAGTCTGTATAAAGGAACATCATCCCCTGGGAANACGACTTTTGGTTCGAGTTATCGGGAGGTTCGAAAAATTGAGGGTTTGAGAAATTGGAAGTCCACTGTATACTGTGCAGAAACCTATCGCTTCATAACAACTGCCGATCGAAACAGCTTTCACACGAAGAAAATTAGCATGAGGCTCACGTAGATATTATATCAGAGCACTAGCTGCCTCCTTAAGAATCTTAAAATACGGTAAATTGTTTCAACTTACCCGTTCTCAGTTGTTAGAAAGTGAATCGCCTAATACCAAAACTCTAGTAAGTATTTACGTCGAGGTATGTTCCAGCTGAACTGGCGTTAATTTATGTGAAAGTCTGCATATTCACGACATATATCACGTCCCACATCACATATTCACAGCATTCATCGTTCTCGTCATGCTTGACTTCCGGCCAACAGAAAGAAAACACGTCCCGTCACGATACACAGGCGTTTTTAATAGGGCAAATTTGTGGATAAAACCTCTCAGAATCGTTCAAGTGTCCATAGGAAAA